AGTTGTAAAGGTCAAAGGTGTAAACGTCAGAGGTGTAAACATCAGAGGTGTAAAGATTAGAGCTGTAAAGGTCAAAGGTGTAAAGGTCAGAGTTGTAAAGGTCAAAGGTGTAAATGTCAGAGGTGTAAAGGTCAGAGGTGTAAACGTCAAGTGTAAAGGTCAGAGGTGTAAACATTAGAGTTGAAAAGGTCAGAGTTGTAAACATTAGAGTTGTAAAGGTCAAAGGTGTAAATGTCAGTGGTGTAAAGGTCAGAGGTGTAAATGTCAAGTGTAAAGGTCAGAAGTGTAAACATTAGAGTTGTAAAGGTCAGAGTTGTAAACATTAGAGTTGTAAAGGTCAAAGGTGTAAAGGTCAAGTATAAAGGTCAGAGGTGTAAATATTAGGGGTGTAAATCTCAGAGGTGTAAACATCAAGTGTAAAGGTCAGAGTTGTAAAGGTCAGAGATGTTAAAATTAGAAGTGTAAAGGTCAGAGGTATTAAGGTCAGAGGTGTAAAGGTCAGAGGTGTAAAGGTCAGAGGTGTAAAGGTGAGAGGTCAGAGGTGTAAAGGTCAGAGGTGTAAAGGTCAGAGGTGTAAAGGTCAGAGGTGTAAAGGTCAGAAGTGTAAAGGTCAGAGGTGTAAAGGTCAGAAGTGTAAAGGTCAGAAGTGTAAAGGTCAGAGGTCAGGTGTGTACCTGGCTGGCGTCCTTCACGTGGATATTGTCCGTGAGTTTACACAGGAGCCAGTAGTATTCTTTACAGCCGGTCCTCAGAGGCTCCTCCTCGTAATCCTCCGCCTGAAACACAAACTCTTTTATGTCACTGCACAAAGCACTGAATCCAGACCTCTGCCAAGGCATTAGACCCGCTCTGAGGCTCACCCGGTCAGAGGTCAGAGTTCAGAGGTCAGTACTCACCCGCAGAGGTTTGAGGGCCTGGGCGTCTGAGAGGAACTTGAGCAGCGTGGAGGCGGCGAGCAGCAGAAAGGAGCGGTTGATGGACTCTCCCCCCTCCAGGCCACACAGGGAGAGTTTATACAGACCGTTACAGGCTTCATGACGGACCGCGGGCTGCAGGGACAGAGACAGGGGCAGGGACAGAGACGGACAGACAGGGGCAGGGACAGAGACAGGGGCAGGGACAGAGGCAGGGGCAGGGACAGAGACAGGGACAGAGACAGAGACAGAGGGACAGGGACAGGGACAGGGCAGAGACAGGGGCAGGGACGGCAGAGACAGACAGAGGGACAGGGACAGAGACAGAGGGGACAGACAGGGGGACAGGGACAGAGACAGAGACAGACAGAGACAGGGAGACAGGGACAGGGCAGGGGCAGGGAGGGACAGAGGGACAGGGACAGGGACGGGACAGGGACAGACAGGGAGGGACAGAGACAGAGACAGGGAGACATGGAGATGAGAGTCTTTCAATAATCTGACAACTCCAGAAATCTCCAGTAGTAGTAGTAATAACAGTAGTACTAGTAGTAGTAGTTGTAGTAGCTGTAACAGTAGCAGTAGTAGTAATAGGAATAATAGTAGTAGTAATAGAGATAACCGTAGTAGTAGTAGTAGTAGTAGTAGTAGTAGTAGCCATAACAGTAGTAGTAATAGCAGTAGTAGTAATAACAGTAGTAGTAATAGTAATAATAACCGTAGTAGTAGTAGTAGTAGTAGTAGTAGTAGTAGTAGTAGTTGTAGCCATAACAGTAGTAGTAATAATAGTAGTAGTAATAACAGTAGTGGTAATAGTAATAGTAGTAGTAAGTAGTAGCAGTAGTAGTAGTAGTAGTAGTAGCAGTAGTAGCAGTAGTAATAGTAGTAGTAGTAGTAGAAGTAATAATAGTAGTAGTAATAACCGTAGGAGTAATAACCGTAGTAGTAGTCTTAGTAGTAACAGTAACAGTAATAGTAGTAGTAACAGTAGTAGCTCTGTCTGAAGCTCTGTTACTCAAATTAGACTTTAATCTGAGTTTCATTTGAACAGTTTTTCGGTCAATCAAACTCCAGAACAGAACCGTGACAACGCTCATATTGATCCCAGACTCCTGTTTTTTTTCTTATGTTTTCTTACAACTTTCTGGCAGTGTTTGCTAATGTGTGCGTTGCGTCGTCACGGTAACAGCTGCGGAGTGTGTTTCTGTACCTCCGGGATGAGCAGGGTGAGCTTCTTGAGCCAGTCGTGCAGGTGCTCGCTGTCGGCCAAACTCGACTTTACCGACGAGGAGCAGTGAGCCCAACTGACCAGCAGCCACATGGAGTAATGCGTCACTGGAAGAGAAATGTAAAAAAACAAAAAAACAAATCAATATCATCATAAACGGAACTGAACCTGGGACGAAACTGATGATTTTTACCGTCTTAAAAATGGAAAAACCAGAAGTAATCCATTTCAAACAGTTTGCAGTGAGCTTCAAGTTATTTCTCGCCTAATTATTCACCACAAAGAGTTTATAAAAGCTTTTCACAACAACGACAAAGCGCATTTCCTGATTCTATGACCAAAAAACGCTGTAAAATTAAATACAGACTTTACACAATGGACTTATTTTGTTCTTAAGAGCTGCTTATACAATATAACTGCACAGGGGCAAGATACGTTTTATTTTATTTGAGAAGAAAATCACGTAGAGGATCCTAGACGAGTGTGATCAGGTTTACAAAATTCTAAACTGGGACACACCCGGTTTGGGATGTTTGGGGTAACTAAAATTGTGAAAATAGTGTGTAAGATTGCGCATTTTCGTACTCTCGTTATTGCTGAATTTTTTGGTTTTATGGTCATTTGCAAACACTTTTTGGGTAAACAGATTAGTCAAAAATTGTGATACAGTGTTCCCTCGTTTATCGTGGGGGTTAAGTTCTAAAAAATAAACCACGACAGGTGAAATCTGTGAAGTAGTCAACTTTATATTTTTTAATTATTCTATCTGTTTTAAATCTGTAAAACTCCTCAACACAAACTTTATACAATTTTTCTCAGACTTTTGTTATTTTTATGTAACGAACCAATGATTCAGTAATTCTGTAACGGAGTCCTACAGCGCAGAGTCCTGCATGGGTCCATTTTTGGAGACTCGCACCCACGCAGGACAGGACCGCACCGCACCCGCCTGCACCTGCCCGCACCTGCCATCACCTGCCATCACCTGCCCGTTAACCCGAGATTATATCAAACTTTTGCGCTGCCCACACCACGGACTGAACCAAGACTAAACCAGGACTAAACCAGGACTAACCCAGGACTGATTCCAGGACTGAAGAGGAGGACTAAACCAGGACTGAACTAGGACTAAAATAGGACTAAACCAGCAGTAAACCAGGACTAAACCAGGACTGAAACAGGACTCAGTGTCGGGACGGGCTCGAAGGTGATCGCAGGAGAAAGGACCGGCTCAGCTCTGCACCTCACAAAAGTAAACGTGGCTGTAGCCCAATGTAAAAAAAAAAAAAAAAAAAAAAAAAGGCATGTAAAATTGCACACACAAAAAAAAATCCACGAAACAGCAAGACCGCGAAAGGTGAACCGCGATATAGCGAGGGACGGCTGGAGTCCTGTTTTAGTCCTGGTTTAGATCAAACTGGTCAAAAATAGGGACATTTCTTGTATAACACTGGGACAAATCACTGGTTTTGGATAAATCTAATGGAAAAGATGACAGAGAGCTCAAAAATGGGACTGTCCCGGGTAAAAAGAGACGTCTGGTCACTCTACATTAAGCAAAACGCATTAGTTAAATGTACCTTCGTGTCGTGATCGGTGGTCGGACTGAGCCTTCAAAACTCTGAGGAGAAAAACAAAAAAAAGGACGCGTTAAAGCGTAAAAACACAATTAAACCATAAACATCACATAAACTCCAGAGTCTGACCTGTGCGCCAGGTTGTCGTAGGTGTAGGCGACATTTATCAAACGCTGGATCAGAGACGTGCCCTGGACCAGACTCAGGAACACCTGCAGAGAACAGAGAGGACATTATAACTCAATGGTACATTAAATTTATAACTACATTTATACTACGCTCAAAAACAGCTGCAGAGAATAGAGAGGACATTATAACTCAATGGTACAGCACATTTATAACTACATTTGGACCAGGCTTAGAAAAACCTGCAGCGAATAGAGAGGGCATTATAACTCAATGGTACAGTACATACAGTATTTAACTACATTTATAACGGGCTCAGAAACACCTGCAGAGAGTAGAGGGGACATTATAGCTTCATGGGACCTTAAATTTATAAATACATTTATACCAGAGTGAGAAACACCTTACAAGAACAGAGGACATTATAACTCAATGGTACAGTACATTTATAACTATATTTATACTAGACTCAGAAACAACTGCAGAAAATAGAGAGGACATTATAACTCAATGGTACAGTACATTTATAACTACATTTAGACCAGGCTTAGAAGAACCTGCAGAGAATAGAGAGGACATTATAACTCCATGGTACAGTACATTTATAACATTTCTACCAAACTGAGAAACACCTGCAGAGAATACAGAGGACATTATAGCTTCATGGGACAGTAAATTTATAAATAAATTTATACCAGACTGAGAAAGACCTTCCAAGAACAGAGAGGACATTATAACTCAATGGTACAGACAGTACATTTATAACTATATTTATACCAGACTCCGAAACACCTGCAGAGAATAGAGAGGACCTTATAACTCAATAGTAAAGTACATTTATAACTACATTTATACTAGGCTCAGAAACAGCTGCAGAGAATAGAGAGGACCTTATAACTCAATGGTAAAGTACATTTATAACTACATTTATACTAGGCTCAGAAACAGCTGCAGAGAATACAGAGGACATTATAACTCAGTGGTACAGAAACTTAGTGTGTGTGGCCTCATGATGATGTCAAACTTAAAAATCCCCACTTCCTGTCCGTACCTCGGTGAGTCGTGGGATGTGCAGTCCTTTGCCGTGCTCCACTGTGGACTTCCTGGACTTCCCCGGCCACGTCCTCTTCCTCTGGCTCTCGTTGAGCCCGGACC